TTTTAGACTCAACTTTTCATGTCTTGATCCTTAACTGCTAAGCCTCCTCAAGGCTCTCCCTTCAGTAACTCCCAGCTCTTCTTTCCTCAAAAACTATTAATAATTCTACTTGGACTCATCCATATCCATATCTTTAAAAACTATCCATGTGCTTGTGACTCAAAAACAGTCTCTCCAACCTAGAGCCTTCTCCTAAGCACCAAACCTGTGTATGGAGCTGCCTGTTTGATATCTTCACCTGGATGTGCCAGAAGCAGCTCAAATCCAGCATGTTTTAAATTGAGCTTGGCATTTCCTCCAAACTCTGCTCCTCCCCCATGTTCTCATTCCAGGGAACGTCACCTCCGTCCACTCAGGCATTCATACCAAAAACGTGGTCATAATTGTTGGCGCCTGTAATCACATGACACAGTCTTCTTGCCTGCTGTACAGACAAAACCAACTCACTGAGACCATAGTTTTGCAATAGAGAAAGAGTTTAATTAATGCAGAGCTAGCCAAGTAGAAGAACTAGAGTTATTACTTAAATCAGTCTCCCCAAGAACTCAGAGGCTAGAGCTTATATAGATAATGTGGTAGTCAGGAGGCTACAGAATGAGTGCTGCTAATTGGTTGGAGATGCAATCAGAGGGGTGTGGAAATGATTCTTGTACACTGTGTTCACCTCCTGGTAGGGTTGAGTCATGAGTCATGAGTCTTGGGTCCAGGTAGCGGCAGTCAGTTGTGAGAATGTAAAAGTCTGAAAAACATCTCAAAAGACTAATCTTAGGTTTTCCATTAGTGATGTTATCTATAGGAGCAATTGGAAATCACAAATCTTGTGACCTCTGGCCACATGATTCCTGAGCAGCAAGGGATTATAGAAACACAAGTTAGTAGGCAATGGCTGGTTATTGCTTAACTACACCTGCTTTTTAGCAGAAATCACATCCTTCCTATAATCTTAATCCTGTGGCCTTTCATTAGTCTTACAAAGGCAGTTTCAGTCCCTGAACAAGATGGTCAATTTTAGAGAGGGACTATTATCATTGTTTCTTTAAAGTTAAGCTATAAGCTAAATTCTTTTCATGGTTAGCTTAGCCTACACCGAGGAATAAGTGAGGACAGCTACGCTGTGAGGCAAGCAAGACGGAATCAGCCATGCTAGACTTCTCTTGCTGTCATAATCTTTGCAAAGACAGTTTCAGTCTTTCATCTTCACTTGTCACTAAGATCTGTCCATTCTACTTCCTTAAAATGTGTTAATTCCATCCAATTCTCTGCATCCATTTATCTGCTGCCTTAATTCAGGCCACCATCATCTCTGGGCTAGATTAATATAGCCTTCAAGCTGGTCTTATCCACAGTTTTTTATTTTCTCCTTTGGAACTAAAGGGGAAGGAAAAACAATTTTCTCTTTACTTTTTATAGTTCTTGATTAGAATGGGTCTCTGTAACAAAAAACAGATCAACAAGAGAAACCGAAATTTTACAACATGTATATCTCCTGTATACATGGGAGAGACCCAGAAAAATGAGTGAATATTAATCAGGTGGCTTTGAATGTGGGCTTAAATATTATGGTCTGTTGAAACAAAGACTGCTAGGGGGAAGGCTGGTTATGGGGAGATGCCCAGGGAAACAGGAAGCAAGGATAAGGTTTGCTAAGGTTTGTTACGCAGGTTTATAAGTCAGTGCCTTCACTATGGGTAACAGTCTCTAGTGTTTTAGACACATGTTTCTCTCTTGGTACAGAGAGGGAGACACCTTTATAAAGAGAGATTTTCTTTCCCTTACAAAGGGATAATTTCTACTGTGTTTTCAGAGGGTGTCTGCAATTTCACAAAATAATCAGCTCAAAATAATCCTTATGCCAGAGAGGCATATTTTGATCTCCTATGGTCATATTTTGGGGTGTCACATATTCTTCTTTTACACAAGCACACACAAAGACTGAAAAGTATTCATGTTCTCTCTTATCTTGAGCCCAAATCATTTCAGACTCTTCTGAAGACTTCAGGGCAAGTTCAAAGTCCCCAGCCTGCCCTTCAAGGCCCCGTCAGCACCACCTCCAGCCCCACCTCTGACCCTTCATCTATACATCCCAGTCTGTTTGTAGTCCCAGAGCTCTTGACTTCTCTTTCCCTGGGCCTTTGCCTGTGATAGCCCTTCAGCCTACAGTACGTTTCTCTTTCTCCTTCTACACTTCGCAAACTTCAACCCATTTTTAAACGTAGCTCAGATACTGCTTTTTCGGGAGGTCTTCTCTGACTCTCAGACTGAATAAAGGGCTGTCTATGTGTTTTTATGATTTAACCCTACTGGGGGCTTCCCCTCCATAATGTGCCAAAAGCAATGGGCAACTTGACGGTTTTTAATTCAGTGTACCTACCCAAGTACATGTAAAGCATTTAGCAAATTTCTTGTCAATAAGTAAATGACTGATGGGTGGGAGGAAGGAAAGAAGGAAGGAAGGAAACAATAGCTGGGTGAATGAAATCATCTGTAACTCTTAATTTCATTCCACATTACGTATCTATAATGCCCTCTAGTGACTGATGGGTTAACTGTAGGTTTTAGAAGCTACTGGGCCAATTGGCAGATAGGTATTGAGTACCTAATAACAGAAATGCTCAGTGCTGACTGACCACTATATGAACTCACTGTTTAGTAGGGCAACAGCACATATACCAAGGAATCACCGTACCCTGGCTACTATGTAAAGCAAACAGCCAAATAAAGTTGCAACAGCAGGAGTTTGGGAATCAACAGACCAAGCTGGGCACATTTTCTAGCTTCTCTAGGCCTCATTTTCTCATCTATAAAAACGGGGTCATAACACCTATTTCTCAGGGTTGCTGGAAGAATTAAAAGAGAAAGTGTTTGCACCAAGCATGTGCTTGGTTACTTACGGAGTAGGCCCTCAACAAAAGCTACCTTCTTTCCTCTTTGCCTGCCTTGCTCTCTCATGATTCTGCAGCTCCCCCTGGGACCTATTAAAACTGAATTGAAATCAGGGAAAAGCACCTCCATCCATGCCTGCAGAGCCAGTACACCTTAGTTGGTAGAAATGCACACCCTTTCCTCTGAAATCTAGGTGGAAAAATAATAAAAATTAATAAAGAAAGAAATGCACACCCTTGGTTCTAAAAGGCTGGTGTCTCCCAGGGAGTCCACATGGTACACAGGGACGTTGGTCCTGGGAACTGGACCCCGTCTTCTCCACAGGCAGCAAGTTGGGTTTGTATGTTTCTGAAGCATTGCTCTCCTTCTTAAACTAACCAGTATTAGGAATCCTGATATTGGACCACATTGTTTTCTTACAGCATCTGGAGATGATCATGGAATTCTCTTCTTCCAAGCCTTTGTTTGCTGCCCATAGGCTAGGAATACAACTCCAACTCCTTAGCATGACATGCAAAGTCCTCTGAGGCCTGGACTCTCCTCTCCCTCTGGATCCTCTATTCCAACTATACTGAGCCTTTATATGAACTATGGTCCCCAAAACAACTTTTTTTTTTTTTAGCACCTCTGAGCCTCCTTTATGCTATTCCCACTGTCTGGAATACTGTCTCCTGTTCAGTGCCTGGCAAAGTCATCTTCATGTTCCAAGGACCAGCCCAAGCCCTTGAGCAGATCCCCCAAGTCAGAGGCAGAAATAATGAAGAGGAAGGTGCTGAGCAGTGTGGAACGGGCTGGCCAAGCAGCTTGGCTGTTCACCTAGTCATTTGTTCAATGAAAGTGCTGTGCCTCAGTGCCTGGCTCTGCATGCAGCTCAGAATTACTCTAGTGAACAAGTAGGGTTGGTCCTTGGCCTTATGGTGCTCATGGTGCAATGGAGGAACCAGGTAAATAATCATACAAATAAATAAATGAGTGTACCCTGTGGAAAGTGCTAGAAGGGAAAAGTTCATGGCTCCATGACAGCAGTATCTAATAAATATTAGTGGTCAGGAAATGGTATTCATGCTGAGACGAGGAAGATGCTGAGCCACAGGAAGGATGGAGGGAAGGGAGTTCCAGGCAGAGGGAACAGTATGTATGCCAAGTTCCCACGGCAGGAAGGAGTTTGGATGTTCAAAGGGCTAGAAGGCGGCAGGGGTGGCAGAGGGACATAAAATGAGGCTGGTAGGGTAGCCATGGGCCACATCATTTAGGACTCAGGAGCAGAGCCTGTGGAAAAGAAAATAATGGGAACCAGAAAGGGAAGTCAGAGGCAGGTCTTGAATGCCACACTGAAAAGTTTGTGCTTTATCATTGAGGTACAAGAAGCCAAGACAGGATTTTGGCATGTCATTTTAGAGATAAAAAAAAAAAAAAGTAACCAAAAGCATGCGTGTCTGATGAAGGGAAATGGTCCAGCCTGGAAAGAGTTAACCTCTTCCTGCCCTCGATATCTTCATAAGCCCAAGCACTCTGCAAAATAATAAGCTATCGTTTATCGGCAAGATTCTGCAAGGTAGCATTTAAAACTGAAAAAGGGCAATAAATCAGGCACATATAATATAAACCCTGAAGTATAGTAATTCTTCTTTTAATGCAACATCTGGTATAAATAGTGCAATTTGCAAGGGGGAGGGGACAGTGGGTGCTATGCAGAGCTTTCATTATTGTGCAAGCAGCACTTAAAGCCCCCGTTTCCCTCCCATCTTTCCAGCAACACTGAGGACTTAAAAAAAAAAACAAAAAAGCATGATTATTATTCCCTCGGCTGGCCAAAAGGGGAGTCAAGTTAATTATAGACTTGTTTTCCAGTTATTAATTAAACCCCAGCTAAACATAAAAACACAAGGGAAGTGCCATTTCCCGCTCCGTGCTTCTAGCCTCTTTCAGCTAAGGAGTTGACGTTCTTGCCTTTGCTGTCCACCCCATGTCCTGTTTCCTCTGTGGATTTTCTCAGGAGGGCCCCAGGGCCTTTGCCTTGTGTGCAAACAAAATCTTATTTTTAGCTGGGAAGGAACACAAAATTGAAAGCTCTAAAACAGCAGGGGGACAATAGAAGGAAGCTTACAGACACTGACCAGTCAGTGGCACCCAGGGTTCTGGGGCTGCCACACCCTCCTGCTCCTCCCAGGTCTGCAAGCCTCCTCAGTCTTCTTTAGGAAGTCCCCAGCTTCACCTGCACACTTCCTGTGAGGCAGCTCTATAGAGGGAGTGATCAGAAGGAAGAGCTCTGTGGTATTTGGAAGCGATCTCCAAACCTGCCCCCCTTACCAGTGCCATGACATGGAGCAAGTTACTTCACCTTTCTATGCCCAGTTACCGCCTCTCTAAAATGGAGACAGGAATAGCACCTACCTAGGTGTGCTATGGGCATTAAATGAGATAAGGCTGATCAATTAATTAGGCTGGCACATGATTGTTAATAAATATTAACCTCCTTTCCCTCATTCCTCCACTCCTCTGGAAAGGCAGGCTTCACAGCTGAATATCCCACATAAATATCCAATTCTAGAAGGTGCACCTGTGAACTTGGTACATCTCAAAACACTTCTAGCTTCTATTTCCTTATCTCTAAAATGGGAGCCCAGCATCCACTGAGATCCTTGGGAGAATTAAATTAGATAGCAGGAGCAGCCCAATGCTTGGCTCTGACCAGATACTTAATATACATCAGTTATTGAATTATCTGAGAACAATCCTCAGTATACTTAAAGAAGTGATTATCAAACCAGTGTCTGTGGCATAAGGAGAGATTAAAGTGCATCATACCAAATTAGCCTCATTTCCCACTAGAGTTGAGATACTCCATTTACAGATCAAGAACATTCCGTAGATGTTCCACAAAGACATAATAGAATTTGCCAGATTTGTTGGCAAAATAAACCTAGACCATCAACCTATCCTCCTTGAAATCCTCCAGCAGGTAGGTTCTCTACCTGTCCATAGAGGCTGTGGCCATTGCTGTCTGTTTTGTAATGGCCATTACTGCCATTACCCATGCTGTTTCTTGGACAGGAAGAGCCAAGAACAGAGCTGACCACCAGTGAGTTCCTCAAAACAAGATTTCTCAATGTTACCAGTCACATGGATGAAAATAGAAAGCCTTCCAGGGAAACTTGCAGCTTAAACAAAACTTGAGGGAATAGTGCATGTGACTTCCAGACTCCAAATGCAGCATGTCCTGTTTGTCCCTGTACTGCCCTAGCAAGCTACCGACTGCTGACTGAGTTCCAAAACTTCCCGATCCTGCCTCTTAGAGCAGGTATGGATGGCGTGGCAGAGGCTGCACTGACACTGGCTCTGCAACTTGGGTTCATGCCCTCCGTTGGCATCACTCAATTCCATTCACTTATTCTTCTCATTTCTATTCAGTTTTAGATTTATTGTTCCTGTTTCTTGTTTCCACTTCCCACTCACCTCCTAGTGGGAGTCATTAGACTCAGATTCAAGTCCTAGTGCTGCTGCCAAGATGCCAATAACATTGATGCTGGAGACACAGTGGTAAACAAGACCTGCGAGATCTCTACAGGAAGACAGAGGGCAAACACATACTTACACAAATAGTTATTTAATTGCACTTTCACTAAGCATGGGTGCTAAAAGAATATATAACAGACAAACTAGCTCTAATGTCCTATTTGGCCTCCTAAAATCCTTCCCATGAATAGTGCACAAATTGTTGTACTCATTTCGAAGAGAAAAGTGAAGCCAGAGAAGTCATATAATAGATTCAACACAGAACTATTGTGGAAGAAAGAAAAAGAGAGAGTTAGGGAGACAGGAGAAAAGGGAAGACAAGACATCTGTAAAGTGTATTTTCATATACATGAAAAGGCAACAACAACTATCATTCCCATATGCTGGGATACCAAGCTTGAACTTCCACTGAATATGTGAAGAGTCACTTACACTAGCATTTCCATATCGGTTTCCTGTTTTCTAGCCTTCTGTGGGACAGGAAGAGATAAGGATATGGGAAGTGATGTCTCACAGAAGAGACCAACCCTACATTCTGTTGCCTGCCAACATTCTGTTGCCTGTCTTTATATGTCAATTGCTAACATGAACAAATTATTCAATCTCTCCAACTGTTATAGTTTGCAAGAATTGGACAATAGCTGGGATTACTATCAGCATTAAATAAAACAACACATATGCAGCCTGACACATACTAGGTGCTTAGGCAATAGCAAGACTTCTCCTTCCTTTTCCTTACTTCCCTTCCCCTCCCTCTGGAGAGGTCTTCATTTCACAAGAAGATGAATCAGCATTCTAGGAACCTGGCAGGAGTTGCTGTGAGAGGCATGCCCTGCCCTGTCAGTATGTGGCTTTGGTCTTGGCTCCAGGACTTAAAATAAAAAAGGAAATATGACTGGCATGCCCCTCACTCCTAATTTCCCATTTGCTGTTCATGCTTTACCAAGTGCATGAAGGGCAGAGCATTCTGAGGATGATGGGGAAGGGAGGGAAGAAAGAGCAGTAGAGGAAGATTTCATAGTTTTGCTTTGCAGCTCCGAGAGCTTATGACCAGTTTAATAAGAAAATATCTTTTTATTCTCCAAAAGTTGAACCGAGATGAATTTGTGGTTCTTCTAAGTTGTTTTTTATATTTTAAGAGAACTGCAAATGTGTCACTGCAGTTCTCCTTAAACAGAAAAGCCTGGGTCCTGAATCCAAAGTGGATCTTGAATTTTCATATTCCAAAGTTTTAAAACTCCAAAGTCTGCAGAATTGCTACATCTCTCAGGACCTCCACATGTAAAACTGATTATAGAACTTACTTTGGAAGAAGCTTCACTTCCCCTGAAACACTGGCACGCTTCTTCCTGGTGACAAGAAAGACATGTCTCAATCCCTACTCTGTGCCCAGCTTTTTGCTATGCACCAGGTGGCTGGGAATGGGTTGAATATGACAGTGGCAACGTTGCCTGTGAAACTCACAGATGACCATCTGAAGATCAAATGTGGCAGGTTGGAACAGTAAGAGAGACATAAACCCATTCACAGGGAAGTAATGTTTATTACTAAGTAGCTACAATGTGTTGGGTGCTTTCACACTGTTGGGTCTTCCCTTTCATTGTGTATGTTGGCCTTCCCAATGATACTTTGGAGTAGGAATTTCCAGACACATGAACAGGGAGAGGTTACTTACACGTTTATTGTATATGAGGATACTAGAACCCTAAGACCGTAAGTGGCAGAGCTGCAATTCAAACTCAGGTCTGATTCCAGACTCCATTCTTATCTGGCTGTCACATAGCCACCAAAGGGAAGGAGAAAGTGAGGCCACAAATAGCTAAGATTGTTAGAGTGGGCAAAAGAACTCAAAAGACACAGCAAGAATGGAGAAATTTATTACTGGGGCAAACAGCACCTTATTTTCATAAATTACAACCTAGTAGATTAATGGTCCCCATGTCCTCAAGAAAAGATTAAGAATATGGGCAGGATCCTCCAATGAAATAGGCAGAGAAGCATGTAATTGGTTTTAGAAAGACTTCCATCCAAAATCATTAAATCAAGTTTTGGCACATGAAAGAGTAAGCTTCAGTTATTGGAAAATGTACTTAGGTGACACAGCTCATTTCCTGATGAAGCCAGATTAATGGGATATTACCAAACCTAATTCCTCCAGAAGTAAATGACTCACCTCTCCTCCTGCTGGGCTGCCTGGAGCTTTCCATGTGCTTGGCCTCCTGCCCTTTCTGAAAATCCAAATACTGGGATGGGAAGCTCAGCCATAAGAGAGAAGTAAAAGACTCAATCCTGTTTGTTCTTTATCTCCCAGTTCTCCACCTAATTAGGTCTTAAACTAAGTGCCGTCTGAATAGCCAAATTAACTCCCCCTCCCACCAAGTTGTGGATATCGTTATTTGAAGGAAGCCTGGGAAGGTTAAAATGGTCAGATGAGCTGGGGCTTGGAAAGAACACAATTAGAGAAGTATAAAGGAGTTCTGGGGTGAACCTCTCAGAATGGGCACAGAGCATGAGGTTGTGTCTGTGAAGATGTTCACAAAATAATGTTATCCACTACAAAGGAACACTTGATAATCAGATGGTCAAGACATCCTATCCTGTGGCTAGGTTGTTTCTTTCCCTGGCCAACCTGATGCTTAGTCAATGGGCTCATGAACATGATGGCCATAATTACAGGGATGGACATTAGCAATGCTGGAGTTAGGTCAGCTTTGGTGAGAAGTCTATGTTACTGAACCCAGGACGAGTGTCTGTCCAACCCATCAGCACAGACCAATGCTGAGCCTAGGGTATTACATCATTTCCAAGGAAGGTATTCAGCCTCTGATTTGATCAGACACCTTGAATCATGTAGGGGACAATGATTTATCCTCGCTGGAAAAGGTGCCAATATATATACAGATTTGAATTCCCTGACCACAGTGTTCCTACAACACCACCATCTAAAGACATAAGAACACCTTATTCTCCATCATAAAATCCTGCACAACATTGCTTATGATGAAGGAGTTCACCTATATGAAAGAAGTGGATGGTCTTATGACCATGAATCTTCCCATGAACTTTATCACTCAGAAGCAGACAGTCTAATAGAATGGTAGAATGACCTATTGAAGAGTCAGTTATGGTGCTTGCTAGAAAACAATACTTGTAAAGTTGGGGTGCTATGCTACAAGATGCAATATACGTTCTGAACTAGATCATGTTTGATATCATTTTTCTATGGCCAGAATTCTTGGGTGTGAGAACCGAGAAATGAAATGAGCTGCCTGCACCATTAACTCTAATAACCCCTTCACAAAAACTATACTCCCATCCTGCAAATTTGAGCTCTGCTGGCCTAGAGGCCCTAGTTTTCAAGGGAAAAAAATGTTTTCTCTGGGGGACAGAATGGTTCATTGAACTGGAAGTCAAGATTGCCAACTGCTGATTGGTGTATCTCATACCACTGAACCAACATGACTAATGATCAAAGTTGATGGAAGACTATAAAAAGCTAATACATTCAGAGCTACTAAGGGTTTAAACCCTCTAGGGATGAAGGTTAGGATCACATATTCAGATAAAAAAACCATGACCACATATACAGCCTGACACACATACAGCCTGAGGTACTAAATGAGAGCAAAGAAATGTAAATTTAGCAGTCAAATGATGGTCTTTATATAATCATGCACTTGCAATCAGTTGCAGAAATGAGAAAGATTACAACCAACAACCAGCCATTTTCAGTATTCTCCATTCCTCTCCAGCTTCAATAAAATCCAAGTGCATTCATCTGGCCAGTAGAAACTAGATTCAAGATACACTGGAAAAGAGATTTTTCTCTTTTCAGCTTCTCTAGTAGTAGATAGCTTTAGCTTCTATTAAGATTAATACAGAAAGAATGAGAGAATTAAGACTCTGGGAAGCCATGAAAAGTGACAAATGTCTCTTAAAATATATATTTCACATCTAACATGAATAAGGCAATATTTGAATTGCATTTGGAGATTAGGTAAGGAGTGAGGCAAGTGGCTATGAGGGAAATAGCCCTTGTATCAGTAACAGCCTATGCAGTGATTCAGAGCTGTTCTGAGAATGCCAATAATGCCATGAATGTGGGATGTAAAGTGGGGAAGGTGAGGAAAGTGGGGGAAAATATGGTTGCCTACAGTGAAAAAATTAGCCAACATTACCACCTATCTTGATGGGCATTAGGACTGTGAGTCAAATCCGAGTCACTCTGGGGTCATGCCCAGTTCCACCACCACAGGTCTTGCTGATTCTCCTTGAAGAATTAAAATTATAATCCCAGCACTTTGGGATACTGAGGCAGTGGATCACTTGAGGTCAGGAGTTCGAGACCAGCCTGACCAACATGGGGAAACCCAGCTCTACTAAAAATATAAAAATTAGTCAGGCGTGGTGGCATGTGCCTGTAATCCCAGCTACTCCAGAGAGTAAGGCAGGAGAATCACTTGAACCCGGGAGGCAGAGGTTGCAGTGAGCTGAGATTGCGCCATTGCACTCCAGACTAGGCAACAAAAGTGAAACTCAGTCTCAAAACAAATAAATAAATAAACAAACCAACACTCAATCGGGACAAAGTCCTGAATATTCTGAGCCTGGATCATTGAAAAGCTGAAAAAGCAATACTGATCATCAGATTTGAATGCTAAGACTTCTCTGAGACACAAGTGTGTGGCCCAAGGAAATCCTGGAGTGCTCACCAGAAAGAAACTCTTGGTCCCACAGCAGCAGGTTTTGCAAAATATTTAGTCCCACTTTTTGGATGCAAGCAAAACCTTGCAACATCCCTATTCGAAGTCCAAAACCAAAAGTTTAATTTCCTTTGTGGGAATAAGAAATGGTCTATCTAAGAATAAAATGTGCTACTGACAAAAGAGAAGGGGAAGGAAAGGTAGTCTAATCTGGTGACTGCTAAAAACAAATCCCAAAACAAAGAATTGGGGAGTAAGGTCTACAGCTGCCTCCCCGGGAAGTCCTATTAATGAGGACAATGGCAGAATTGTTCTCCCATCAGAAAGAAACCTTGCAGTCCCCAACCTGGGAGCCACTCACTGTCTTTTGCTATTTCTTTTCTTGAAATACAATGTATTGGAAATTCTCCCAGATCTCAGCGGGGGGAAAACAAAGGTCTGGCAGTAAAATGAAACACCTAATTAACAGAGAGAACTGTTCCACTGTGGCCGGAGGACTTGATTCAAGACTCCTGACTCCTTGAAGAAAGGAGTGGGAAGAGAGACACCCACAGAGCACTGAGCACCTGTAACTATTGTACTTCTTAAAATTAGTGTGCAGGTTAATTGAGTTCATTAATCAAAGTGCTTAGAAAAGTACATATCATATTATGTAAGTATTAGCCATTGTTACACACATTATCCTTGCAACAACTCTGGGTTAGGAATCAGTACACTCAACTCACTCATAGTTAAATCGAGGAGCGGGAGAGTTAAGCGCTTGCCTAAGTTTTTGCAGCTATAACATGATGGAGCCGGGACTAAAATTCATAGCTCTACAATTTTAAATCTGACGTATTTTCAGAATATTATGCTGCCACCTCCCCCTGTGACAAAAGGGCTTTCTCATCATTTTGTCACTTGCAGCCTCACAAGTTTCACCATTGACTTTGGTCTACTTAGGGTCTGTTTCCTCTGTGTGAACAAATATAGATCAGATGGCGGAGAGGGACTGTGGGGAGAAAGCCCAGAACAAGCAAGCTTTAGAGAGGATACAAAAGGAGCAGGCAAGGGAAAACAGAAGGAAAAGAAAGAGTAAGAAAGGAAACTGCTCCATTTGCATCTATTTATCTGTGTGTTTATAGATTTGTATCCAGCCTTGTTTTAAGGGATTATGCAGCAGGATAACATTGACTCACACTTGGGGCAGCAAGTTTCCAATGAGTCTCCTTGAAGTGTCCCCCCAGTGATGTTTTCAACTTTGATTTATCATTTTTCAAAACAATATAAGGCCTTGGCAACCAGCCTGCTTCTTCCTCCACCACCTGCCTTCTGCAGAAACCATAAAGTAAAGCTAGTAAAATTCTTCATACATAGTAGGTGTTCAAAACTGTAAGATGGCTGCAAAACCAGCAGGTCACCCCAGACAGCTCCCAGTGGATTTGCTAAACTTCCAAAAGTAGCCGTTCCTCTTGGGTTTGTGAAGAATGCATTTGGGCAAACCCTTCCCCTCCTTCTTCTCTCTACCCGCTAAGAAGTCTTATTCCCAGCCAAGATGGCAGGGACTGGTGGGTTTATCCCATTTGCTTGTGTGTTTGTGTGTATATGAGAGCCTTCCCACAGTGAGGCCAGCATATCAGTCCCACCCTTCACCTCCCAGTCCTAAATTGAAACAAGCTGGTTGCAATTGTGTGTGAGCCCAGCTCACACCAGCTGGGCCCTGCTCACAGCTTCAGAAAATGCTGTTTCATGTTCAGATGCAAATAACTATTTCCTCTCTAGAGCATGCCCTGGACTGTGTTCCAATCTGAATGGGGAGGAGAGGGGAGCAGGGGCTCTGGAAAAACATTTGGCCTGGGCTGTCAGGATGAATTATGCTGCCCTGAAGCTTGCCCTGAATTCAGAGTGGTCAGTGCTCTAAGAGAGGTTCGCAGGAGAAGAGTGAAGTCCCCAGAGTCTCCAAGCCACTGTTCCTACACCACATCCCCATGGCCATCCTCTGAGACCAGCACTCGTGGCCTGATCCCAGAGGGCTGCATAGCCTCTGAACTGGTCTTCCCACCTCTAGGAGTGTCCTCTCCAATCCATCCCACACACCTGCTACCAGAGGAATTCAATCATTCATTCATTCAAAAATCAGTTATTAGATACCTACTTTGTGCCAGATGCTGTTATAGGAACAGGGGATACAATAGGACCCAAATGGAGTGGGGGAAACCTCTCCTTGGGAGGTTTATATCCTAATGAGCTTTCTCAAGTATAGTTCTCATCATGTCACTCCCTTGCTCTTACTCAGAAGTCCTCAATGGCTCCCTATAGCAAGCTGAATAAAAACTACACTTGTTAATGCAGACTAGGCCCTCCAGGTTCTGACCTGAATGTGTCCAGTCTTAAGGTTTCATTCTTTACAGTTTATGATCCAGTCAGGAATCTGTTAGAAATCTACCTACACTGTGAGACCCAGCTCCAGTGCCATCATCCATCCACGATTCCTCCTTCCTTCATGTTCTCATGGCACTATCCCAGAAATTCACAGTGAGGAGAAACGGCAGAGATTATCCAAAACTCCAAATTTACATTTCATCAGTCCCATTCTCCCCAGGCCTAATTCTGTGTTAGTACTAATTAATTCATACTGTGGTAAACGTAACTCGGATTACTTGATGGGAGGATTTAAGTAAGATGTATTAAGGGTCTAACATGTGCCACACTCTGTTTCACACTTCTTTTAATCCAGTCTCTATTTTCTCCTATTTACATGTAAGGAAACCAAACTCAGAGAGGTGAGGTAATTTACCCAAAGTCACACAGCTAGGATATAATGGACTATCAATTCAAAGCCGGGTCAAATGGGCTCTGGTTGTTCAGCGGCCATGGTCATTCCTCCCCACTGGGAGCACACAAATCCTCTAGTACACATGTTGTCCTGGGGGGTGCCTATGAAAAGTAACAAGATAAACACTGGGCATGTACCTGAGGCATCCTTTTCACATACTGGTAAGCCATTTAAATACTAGTTGATGTCAATAATATCCACATGAAAACAAACTCAGCTGTTGCATATTATGGAATGGAATTTTAAGATTGCAGGAATTTTAGAGACAAAATGCAAGACTTCCAATCCACTTTACGCCAGAGGAGGGCTGCTATACTCCAACCTCTCAGCTGGTACCCATTCAGTCTCCTGGGCCACGAGGACTACTTGGACAGCAAAGATGTTTTCACTACTGCAATTTCTTACTGAACTGTGTAGGCTGTTCCCTCCTAAGAGCTGGGCCTTGCATGTGGCTGATAGCTTTGACTCGTGATGTCCTAATGATGAGTTGATTCCTCTTGTTTTGTGGCATCTTCATCTGCCAGGCCCTTAGTTGTCTGACCCTAAAGAAAGTGAGAATCTCAGTCATCGTCCCAAGTGATTGGAGAGGTTTACATTGTAGGAGCTGTGATGAGGAGAGGACTCCATGTCCTTCAAATGACTCCATTTTATATAATTGAGGATTGACTCTCGCTGGTATTGACCAAAAGCAAGGCTGGGTTTCCTGAATACAAATAAGTGCTGGAGAACATGTGTTTTTGTTTTTGTTTTAATTATCTGGCAGGAACAACTCAAATATAATATCTAGCACATGAGCCACCACACCCCTCATCTCCCTACCTCCCATGTCCTTGGCAAACTTGGCTAATTAGTCACAAACCTTTCTCTTCTAGATCTGACTTCAGGATCCTTCACAACACAGCAGTTGGGAAGCTGTTACAAATGGCTCAGAGTTGGCACAAGAAACAACTCTGTTTGCCTTCCTTGGTCTAGAGCCCAGTCATTGAATGAAGGGGATGATTTCCATTCTTCTGAGGAGCATGCAATCTCTTTTATAAAACCCTTCTGTGTGTTATTTCACATTCCCTACAGGATAAAATCCACATTTCTTTCCTAATATTTAGGGCCCTTGCACTCTGTCCCAGCCAGACTCCCAGGCTCTGCTTGTGGCATATCCACTCAATGAGCCTGCACTGCTGCCACTAAATACACTTCCACCTGGCCACCTGCACTTCCACTCCTTTGCATACCTGTTCCCTTACCTGGAGCAACTTCCTTCCTGCTTGTTTGGATCAGAGGCTCTGAAACTTAAGGGTACATGGAAAACTGGTTAAATATAGATTGCTGGTTCCCCATACCCAGTTTCTGATTCACTAGGTCTGGGGTGGATCCCAGGAATTTACATTTCTCGTAATTTCCCAGGTGATGCTGGTGCTAATGATCTGGGGGCCACACCTTGGAAACTATGGCTCTAGGTAACTCTGGCCTGCCTTTCAAGCTCAACTCAGGCTTCTCTTCCTCCAGGAAGCCCACCATGACTGGCTCCATTCTATACTGTGTTAAGTACCTCTTATAAGCCCCCACATTCCCCTGTTATTTCCTCTGTGCTAGTACATAAAGGATTGTATAGAAATTGCCTTTCAATCTGTCTATCTCCTCTCAAGTAAAGCTCCTTGAGGATTCTTACTCAACCATGTCTTATTCATCTCCATATATCCTTAGTACTTCACAAGTGCCCCATACATAGTAGAGGCTCACTAAATTTTGTTAAATGAATACAGTGTAAGCACAGGGCAGATGGAACCAAATGTTAAGGAAATGCATGATATAAGAAATAGGAATGTTATCACTGTGTGCCAATCCTTCCTTGCCTGAAATGCTGCCTACAGGTCTCTAAACACCTCCCCTCCATCTTCTATACTGTCTCTGCCACAACTTTGCTTAAAACTCTTCCACAATCCCATATAGGCATCAGAAAAAAAGGCCACATTTCTCATCCTAGCATTCAAAGCCATCAGGTTTGGGCCCTAGCATAATTTTCCACCCTTAGCTCCTTACACATTATTTTCTCAATAATCCAAGACTGCTTTATGCTCCTCTGCTATTTCCCTCACGAAGAAAGCTCTTCATGCTTTTCTACCTGGAAAACTTGTATTGTGCTTCAAGGCACAGATCAAATATCACCATTTCCATGGAGCCTTCCCTGATTATCAGAGGCCTCATGCCTTACTCTCATAGTACGGTATACTTCTCTTTGTGTAACACTTAAACAAGTAAACAAACCTTCTCTCTTACCCAGGAAGCTCTCACTACTAGACTACATGATCCTGAAAGACTGTCAGTTACCTCTATTCTCTGGCTCTTACCAGACACTCTGATCTATGGTAGGGTTTTATAAAAGGGTTTTATGCTCAATGTCTGTTTTATCCATCTGACTTCTACCCTGAGAAATATAAAAGCAAACTTGGGTTTTATGAGCTCCAACCTCCATCAAGATTCCTTTACAATGTCCACCTCAAAAAGATCATTTCACTTATATTAAAACTAGTGCAAATCTCTTTACAACCTGAAAAAAATCTGGCCTTGCTTGTCTAATCCACAAGCCCAGTGAGATCCCTAGCTTCTTTTCAGTGGAACCAAAATATGTGTACATCACCAAATAATCATCAGAAGAAAATATTATGAAATGTGTCCAACAAATGGCCTGGTCTGACTGTTCTTCCCACAGATTTGGGTGAAGAACAGAGGCTCAAGAGATCTTTGCACATCCTCGCTTTTTGCAAAAAGGCATAAATATAATGTAAGGCGAGTCAGAGGTGGGGGGATAGACACAGAAACAGAGAGACCAGGAAAGAGACAAGAAATAAAGAGAAAAGCAAAAGCTAGATGAAAACATGAGAGAAGTTAAAAAGAAAGAGCAAATACAGAGAGGGATAAGAGATGACACAGCTAGAGAAAGAGATGAAGAGACACAGAAAAGAAAGATGGAGAAGAGAGAAGAGACACATTGATGAAAAAAAGAAAAAACACATACAAGTACACATATATAGGTAGATAAGTAACACAGTGAGAAACAGGGAAACAAAGATAGAGAATTAGACTCAAGAGAGACAGACAAAGGCAGCCCACATCACTAAGCTGCTAGACTGTGGAAGCTGGTTCACCATAGGTAGGTACTAATGTTGCATTTTTAAATTAATGTGTAGAGAGAAAGAGATACACAGATGGATAGAGAAGGAGCAGGAGGGAGCTCAAACTTGGTGCCTGCTGTTTTCTCACCACATACGCTACATGCAACGGAAAAATGATAAGTCAGCCAAGAGTATGCACAAGCGTGAGATCTCCAATTTCAGCAACGGCCTTCAAAACCTTAAGGGCTCATCAGGAACAGAATGTCTTCTAGCCCAGCAAGGGCCAGGCCAACTCTGGGAAGAGTCTAAACAGATCATAAAAATATTTTCTAAGATCAACATGGTAATAAGCTGTTTATTTCATCTTTGATTGGCTCCATGGGGCAGGACAAAGCACACTGCTCAGGGGGTTTGGGTGCCTGGTTTCCCATGTGAGCCTCGTAGCTCACTTGCTCATGCATCAACTTGGCCAGCTCCCCGTCCTCCAGGCCCCAGAGCTCCCGATTATAAAAGGAAGGCTGTGGTGATGGGATGGTAGTTGGACCAAATCACTTCTTTCACCTTCTTGTTAAGTAAAACAACTTTTTTCCTAACAAAATCATGGGCAGACATCTAATATATAAAACCAATTAAAAATTAAAATGAAATTTCTCTGATTCAAAGTTAAATGACAGCTCGTTCAGTTTCCAGGAAAAGCTTCTCTTCCTCTTTTCCTACACCCCCTTGAATCAAATGGTAACTGGGTTCAAGTGCTGTGAGAGTTCGTGCTGCCACTATCAGAGACAACCCTGCTTCTGAGAGTCAACCTAAGAGCAGAAGTGCCCGGGTAGAAGAAACACAGTATAAATGCAACAGATGGTTGCACAGCAAAGTATTGCTTTCAGTGGTGCTGAAAATCTACTTTCTTACTTCATTTTTAATAATTCATAATCCCGAAGGCATTTACAAATGAACACAATGTGCACAGTCACAAGAAATGCTTTGTGATATTAACAATTCAATGGCTTAGAAATTTGTATTTATGATAAATTATTTTATCTAAATCTAAACATTTTAGATGAAACATGAGTGAAGTGTGATGACTTTATAAAAGAGTGACTACATGGGTGTTAAATATTAGAATTTCAATAGTTTTATTTTTATAAAAATATTTAAATATTAATTAAAATTTCAAAAAAATTACATAAGTTTCAGCTTTACTTAAAATTCTAAAAATTTTGGATATTAATTTAAAATAACTTGATTTGCTTTTTGATTTGCATATCTTAGAAAAATAACTTTTCTGAAAAATGTTTTTTATTTTTATATTTATTGATGAAATATCCAAATTATATATGCTTTGAATAGAATTCATTTTATTTTTAATCCTTTAAAATAAATCATTAACAATGATCATAAATTGAGATTATGATAGAAATAGAAAATATAAAGAGAAATATAAAGAAAAGAAAAAAGACTAAAAGGAATAATGAAATAGAAACACTAAAAGACGTAGTCTTCTGAAATAAAAATATATATATTGGAAACTGAAAGTAAGCAGACTTTATTTGCATGCAATACAAAAAGAAACAAAAAAAAGAGAGAGAGAGAGAGAAACTCTTTCAATTCCTATAACTAAAATTAAGGTTAAAAGGCTGGGCACAGTGGCTCACATTTGTTACCTCAACACTTTGAGAAGCTGAGACAGGAGGATCTCTTGAGCTTACAATTTCAAAAACAGCCTGGGCATTTCTGTCTCTACAAAAAAAATAAAACACAATAAAAATAAAATTAAATTAAGACTTTAAAATAGCAAAGCTTCCTACAGTATCCAAAAACACAAGTGATATTGGGTATTGCCATGGGGCTTTAAAGATACTGTTATGTGTCCAATACTTAGCCAAGCATAATTATTGATGCTTTACATGGTACTAAAAGCATAATATTTATAGAACACAATGGAAAATGTTTAGGTTACTTAAAATGATTTTGACATTTGATGCTACAATAGCAGAACTTACAAATTTGACTTTTAAATTATAAGATAATTATTCTCTAGGATGAAGATTTCAAAATGAGAGTTTTAATTTAGTTGTGAATAAAGAGAAAAAAACTAAATTTTTAAAAACAATATTAACTAATACTAATATTACAGTATTCAATAATTGTTGCTCAGCTCCAGTAGTTCCTAACAGATACAGAAGTCATGCTAGGGCTGGGCACGATGACTCACGCCTGTAATCCCATCACTTTGAGAGGCTCAGGTGGGCAGATCACTTAAGGTTGGGAGTTCCAGACCAGCATGACCAACATGGTGAAACCCTGTCTCTACTAAAAATACAAAAGTTAGCCAGGTGTGGTGGCAGGCACCTATAGCCCCAGCCACTCAGGAAGCTGAGGCAGGAGAATTGCTTGAACCTGGGAGGCAGAGGCTGCAATGAGCAGAGATCAGGCCTCTGCACTCCAGCCTGGGCAACAGCGAGAGACTTTATCTCAAAAAAAAAAAAAAAAAAAAAAGACCTGTTAAACAACCAGAAAACAAATTGAAATTAATGTGTATTGTATTCATATCACAGGTCATAACAAGTACAGGCATTGAAGAACTGAAAAATTCAACTTTTGTTTTAGTCATTGATTTGCTGAGGGTAAGCCTATGATAAAGATGCTAACACTATGAGTAAAGGAAAGGATATACAGCCAGAATTCAGAAGTATTCCTTATTGTATGCATGGTACACATTAATTAATCTGTTATTAGAAGGCTTGCCCTCAGTTGTGCTAATACCAATATCATTCTTTGGAGCAATTCAAAGTTGTAAGATTTTGATGAAACGCATACCATATCTGACCTGTCAACTCTCTCCAATGCAAGATAGGAATGCCAACCACATGCACTGAAGTAATTAGATTTAACTTATTTCAATTTTTACATCAATTTTATCCAGGTATAACTTACTCTCAAATGTTTGAAGTGTACAGACGAGTTGTGACAAAGGTACACACCAGTGTAAACACGACCACAATTAACATATAAACATTTCCATCATCCAGAAAATTCCCCAGTGTGGCTTTGCTGTCAGTCCTGCCTCCCACCACCTATTCCTGGTGCTAGGCAACCACTGATCTGTTTTATGTCACTATGACGATTATGCCTGCTCTAGAATTCCATGTTAAGTGGATTCACATAGCATACTCTTTGGTATTTGTCTTCTTTAACTCAGCCTTCCTTCTTTCACCCAGTTTTTGAGATTTAGCTGTGTTGCAGCATGCATCAGTAATTTGTTCCTTTTTATTGCCGAATACTATTCTGTTTACATGGATATACCACAAGTTTACATGGATATCCATTTGCCTGCTGATGCATATTTAAGTTGTGTCCAATTTGAGACTACTATGAATAAGTATGCTATAAATATTTGTCCCTGTGTATATATGTGCTCATTCCTTTTGGATAAATGACTATGAGTGGAATAGCTGTGTCATATAGTTAGTATTATTACAGGAGTTATTAAAAAATTATTTGGTAAGGCTTTTTCTTTTAATAAAAACAGCTTCCAAAACATGTCTTTTCTAACAGAAAAGCAGCTTGAAAAGCCAGGCCAGCAAGCATTGATATGCAAATGCTGGTGATTAGAAACTAGGTCCACCCAACATGGCAGTTCATGCCCTCTTCTTGTCACCATCTGTGCCAGGTGTCACAGCCACCTCCAGATAACACCATGTGTACAGGATATCATGGCAACCTACATTTGCATATTAAGAGGCTAGGGTGGGAGGGCCAATTTTGTCCCTGGGCTATGTGAATGACACAACTGGTCACATCAATTCCCTGGGCCCTGTGCAAATCAAACACTGCCTCTTCCAACCTTCTAATATAACCAACTGCTTTCCGCCACATGCCAAGGGTTTCTCTCCATTCAGAGCACCCCCTCCCTCTGTATGGGGGGAGCCTTTCTTTTTCTTTCTTGCCTCTTAAACTTCCCACTCCTTAAAATCACTCCACGTGTGTACATGTCATCTAACAGGTGTGAGACCAAGGACCCTGATGTTTCCCCAGTCATTGGAGCTATATCAGTATGTTCTCAACTCTCTAAGAAACTGCCAAATTCTTTGTACTATTTTTCCATTCCCTCTAGCAGTCTAGGAGATTTTTAGCTGTTCCACATTTACCAAATCTTAGTATGGTCAATCTTTTTCATTCTAGCCATTCTTGTTGGTGTTTAATGGAATTGCACTGTGATTTTAAAGTCTATTTTCTTTCTGACTAATTATGTTGGACATATGTTCATATGCTTCTTGGCCCATTGTTTATCTTCATCTGTGTAGTACCTATTCAAATCTCTTTACTGTTTTTCACTGGACTGTTTGACTTATTGATTGTTGAATCTCTTTATTTTTTGTTTCAGTATCACAAAAACATCAAGTAAAGCTCTTTATATATTCTTGTTACTAGTCTTTAAAAGGTGTATCTATTATAAATACTTTCTCTCAACTGTGGCCTGAGCTTTTATTTTCATAACATTTTACTTTGAAAAGCAGAAATTTTTACTTCTAATGAAATAACATGTATCAACTATTTTCTTTCGTGATTCATGGTTCTATGCCCTAAGAAGTTTTATTTCCAACATTATAATGTTTTATAGGTTTTGCTTTTACATTTAGATCTATGACTGATTTCCAGTTAATTTTTGTGAGATGTGAGGTAAGAGTCAAGGTTCATATTTTTTCAAATGGATACCCAGTTCCAGCACCATCTGTTGTAAACACAATCCTTTCCCCATTGGATTACCTTGGCACCTTGGTCAAAAAGCAATTGACCCTATATTTTTTGGTCTCTCTCTGGCCTCTACTGTTTCATTAATCTAAATTTCTGCCTCTACACCAATAGCACTCTGTCTTGATTACTGCGTGTATTAGTTTGTTCTCTCCTTGCTATAAAGAAATGCCTGAGACTGGGTAATTTATAAGACAAAGAGGTTTAGTTGGCTTAGGGTTCCACAGGCTTTACAGGAAGCATGGCAGCATCTGCTTCTGGGGGGCCTCAAGGAGCTTTTTACTCATGGGAGAAGGTGAAGCTGGAGCAGGTTCCTTACATGGCAGGAGTAACCAAGGGTGGGGAGGTATAGGTGCTGTGCACTTTTCAACAACCAGATCTCTTGAGCACTCATTCACAAGAGCAGCACCAAAAGGATGGTGCTAACATATTCATGAGAAACCACCCCCCTGATCCATCACCTCCCACCAGGCCCCACTGCCAATAATGGGGATTACAAATTCAACATGAGATTTGGTGAGTACACAGATCCAAGCCATATCACTGCAATTTTTTAAATTTTAACTTATACTTTATTTTAACTAAAGTATTTAAAATACATTTATGAAGGATGAAAATTTTTTTAAATTATACTTTAAGTTCTGCGGTACATGTGCCACTGCAATTTTATAGTATAGCTTGATAACCGGTTCTGTAAGTCATCCAACTTTATTTTTTGTCAAAAACGTTTCAGCTATTTCAGGTCCTTTGTGTTTCCACGTAAATTTTAGAATCACTTGTCAGTTTCTACAAAAAGCTTCCTGATATTTTGGGGGACAATCTCATTGTATCTGTAGATCAATTTGGGAGAGAAATGACATCTTTAAAATATCACCTTCTAATTACTGAGCATGGCATACCACTTTACTACTTTAAGTCAATTTCTCTCATTAGCTTTTGTGGTTTTCACATATCTTAATAAACTTACTCTATTTGATGTGTTTTGATATTACTTTGCATTGTGTTAATTTTATTTCCCAATTGTTCTTTGCTATAAATAGAAGTAAAATTGACTTACGTATATTAAAGTTGTATCCAATGGCCTTACTAAATTCACCTAGTTCTAGCAGTGTTTTATAGTTTCCTTGGGATTCTCTACATATATGATCATGTCACCAACAAATAAAGGTAATTTTACTTCTTCTTTTCCAAGTACTTTTTTTTCTCTTGTTTTATTGACTGTCTAGGATATCTAGTTACTACTGAGTAGAACTGGTGAAAATGGACATCCTTAAATGTAGAGAAAAAAGATTTATTCTCAGCACTAAGTTTGAGATCAATCATAGGTAGGAAGCTTCCTTCTATTCTTAGATTACTGAGAAATGTAATCATAAATTAATATTTAATGTTATCAAATACTTTTTCTCTAGCTATTGCGATGATCATGGTGTATTTTATTCTATTAATATCATTTTGTTGCATAACTGAATTTCAGATGTGAAACTAAAATTATATTCCTGAGATAAACACAGGATATTGCTTGATATTATTTGCTAATGTTTTGCTAGCATTTTGTATCTATGTTTCTGAGGGATGTTATTCTTGGATTTTCTTATGTTTAATATCTATGTCTGCTTTTTAAATCAGGGTAATGTTAGACTCATAAAAATGAGTAAGGGAGTATTCCATTTTCCTCTGGAAAGGTTTGTGCAGGATTGGTATTATTTCTTTCTTAAATGTTTGCAAAGTGCCTTCCCATTCATCATCTTCATAGTACAGACAACTAAAAATAAATAGGGGTGTCATGGCATTTGCCCAAGTTCACACGTTGGTGAGAAGTGGAGCTACGTGTCTAACCTTTGACCCTCTAGAAACCTCCTATGATTAAGTAGAAGCAAATCAACTTAAGACCTCTGGGTTGGACATAGGTTTTTCAATGACAGTATTCTAAAAAGGCATCAGAAAAAATGAGTATTATCAACCAGAGACATTACCAAAAGAAAGAAAAAATACACAGGAAGAATCTGGGATTTGAAGGCTTGCACATCTGGTTTGGAATCCCAGTTCTGCCATTAGTAACAAAAAGTCACACTGCTTGGACATACGTGATTTTCATCTGTTTAATTACTTTCTGCCTCAGAAGGATGTTATTGGGTCAGTACAAAAGTAATTGTGGGTTTTGCCATTACTTTTTTTTTTGAGACAGAGTCTCACTTCATAACCCAGGCTGGAGCACAATAGTGTGATTTCAGCTCACTGCAACCTCTGCCTCCCAGATTTAAGCAATTCTCCTGCCTCAGCCTCCCAAATAGCTAGGATTACAGGCATATACCACCATGCCTGGCTAATTTTTGTATTTTTAGTAGAGATGGGGTTTCACCATTTTGGCCAGGCTGATCTCAAACTCCTGACCTCAAATGATTCACCCACCTCGGCCTCCCAAAGTGCTGGAATTACAGGTGTTAGCCACCACACCTGGCCTTTTACTTTCCGTGAAGACAGGAGCTGTCATTATTGTTCATCAGCAGATTCTCAGCAGTCAGCCTAGTGCCTGGTGCATAGCAGGTTTTCACAAATATCCATTGAATATATATCCCCATCAACATAAGCCTCTTCTCCCCTCTGAGCCTCAGCTTAGCCATTTGCAAAATGGGCATAATAATAACAAGGTTGAAAGACAGACTTAAATTAAAAAGGCAATTCTAACTTCTCAACGAAAGGTAGTTTTCCTATGTGCCTTTCTCAGTGTTTTGTCATCTCACAGGTTCACTCTGAAATGTGTGTTCTCTAGAAGGCTGGCTGGAACAAAGACAGGAATAGTTGTCTGGGTGGTGCAATCATTTCTGAGCTGCACAGACACAGTATGACACAGCAATGAAAAATGGCATTGCTATTCAGACTTGAAACCAACATCTCTCATTTTTAATGTTCTGCCAATAGACATCTCAGCCTCTTCAAAGGACTCAGTATCCCATCCATATTGCCCCACTTAGCGATGGTGTTTTTTAAAGAAATAAACATTTCTGCTTGCTGAGAAAAAGCAAAAAGAGATTTAGTAAATACACAATCATTTGATGAAGATTCATGCAGGGCTCCAAGCTGACTGCTCAAGATGAGTTCATTGTGGACAAAAATAGAGCATTTAGGCCCTCCTTACGCTGGCCCTTCTTTATCTGTCCAATCGAAAGAGGCAGCAAATTGGAATGGGAGAGACCAGGCTACAGAGTCAGTCTGATCTAATTTCAACTCCAGTTCCATTACTTATAGACACATAACTTAGAAAGTATCCTATGCAAGCTTCAATTTCCTCATCTATAAATGAAGTACATATGAAGTGGCTAGAAAAGTGTCTGGCTGGTAGCAGGTACCAAATAAATATCTTGCAGTGAAGAGATCTATATCTACATTGATTGGGAATCTACTGTGTGCCAGGCACTGTTCTAGACACCGGGGATGCAAAGAGGAACACGATCTCA